GCAAAATGTCCACGCTGCGGGGAGGTGGAGTCAGTGGACCATGCTCTGTTCTCCTGCCATGTCATTCAGCCTGCGGTGGGGGCCCTTAACGATGCGATTCGCTGGTTCAATCCAGCGTGGAGAGCAAGAACACTTGGCGACCTGCTATTCAAGCGCGGGAGGACAGCTTCCGGATTTCCTGAGCTGACGATGTCGACAATCATATTCCACCAGATTTGGGTGGAGCGCTGCAACGCGGTATTCAGGGGGCGGAAGTTCCAGTGCCGGAAGGTGATAAGGGGGATTGTGACGGCTCTCTGTCTACATGCGTGGACGTATGAGGGCATCAAGCGAAGGTGCTGTAAAGGACTCTCCTCTACTTTGCATAAGCTAGGAGTTGTTCTAAACGATAGAGCTCTGTCTTAGCTTCCCAACAAGCCATCAAACCCGTCGATCGCGTAAGTATTGTGCGAGATATAGGCGTTCACGTGTTGGGTGGTGCTCTTGAATGCAAGTATAGAAGCTCTCTGGAATGTCAGGTTTGAATGTACCACGTACAAAGAACTCTGGTTTTCACTATATTCCATGCAATATAAAAAAAACACAATTATATGAACTGCAAAACGTCGAATCGCACATGTAACATCGAACCGCGGTACACTCGAATGTTCAAGTAACATCGAAGGGGTGAAATTCGACTCTTGAATTTCACCGAATCGAATTCTCCTTGAGCCTCGATTCTTCTTGTGCTTGCATGTGGAACCGAAGTGCAAGTCCTCCGAAGTCAACCTGCACCTTCTTGACAGCCTCCAACCTTCGTGTAACTTCTAGCTTTCAACTCACTCAACCGTGAGCACTAGAAGTAACCCGTTCAGTGGGTTGGGGGCATACAACTACCCCACCACCGCCTTGCTTCCAACACACGCAAACTCCATCATGCACCCAACTCCATCAAACTCCCCCTTGCACCCAACCTACTGTGTAATCCATCATGCTCGTAGCATGCACGGGATGGATCTTTAGGGGGTGGTTCCATGAGAGATTCCGCGTGTTCATCATCACCCTTGGTCGCGAAGCAATATGCCACGCCCTCCTTATCCGTCTCCCCAACGGATACCGTAGCATAGTCGGTCTACTTGGAGGGAGGACGAACCTCACAACGCTAGCGGCATGGATTCGTTAAAAATGAGACGCGTGACCAAGCAACATCTGGCCAAGGACGGAGTCGCAGCGTTGAAAAATACTACGGTACCATGAAGATAGTCAACATACTTACATGGCGTGACGAATTCCTGTCTATCTAGACAGATCGAAGGGCCAGATTCAAACCGCCGTAGATGAATACAAGGGGTGGCTCTCTTACTGTGTGTAATTGCCCCCCTCCCCACAACAGTTACGACTATGGCCCATTTTGCTGTATCCCTGATATAGTGAAAAGCCTTCTATGAAAAAAAAAAAAAATTGTGTGCCTGTCGACATTAGGGGGTTCGGCCATATGCACAGTGGCGTTACGTGACAGCACTGTAGACGCTGCTCCCGATTGTGCGTAGGGCGAGTATGAGGGTGTACAGCTTCCGAGTCAGAGCAACTGTCCACAGTTCCCCCGACCTTCCCCTCACATTTTGCTCTGCATCCCATAAGGCAAGCAGGTCATTCTCGTTCGTTTTCCAAGCAGCTCAAAATGGTTCATTTTGGTGCGCGATGGTGCAAAATGGTGACAGATGAAAACTGTCAAAATGTGGCGGAACTATCAAACTGCGTCATATGTGCTTTGAAGGAACGAACTGCCGCCACACAATCTGGAACCAGTTCATGTGCCTACACAGCCAACTTCACACCGTTTACGGGCAGGCAGAAAGCAGACATGGGAATAAATACACATACAGTTGACACCACTTATACGGTTTACTGTGAGAGCTCACCCACCAAATCCCATATATTATGAAGTTCGAAGAATTTTCGCAGTTATGTTTGAACTTTGCGTACCACGGATGAATCTCCACCACGCAATAGAGCTCACTTGAAGCCCTTCCATTCACAAATGTACAGTACAGCCGGGATTCTTCTCGTGAGACATGTACAGTTCCCAATATGTTTCCTTCCCATCCCGATCCCAGGCCAAGTCAAGTGCCTTGTCGTGATGCTGAGCAGTGCGTGAGACGAATGAACCACTCCGAGAACCTTCGCAACAGATCCTTTGTCAACAAGATAACCACCCAATACACCCTGTTTCTCAATGTTCTGACAATCGGGAGCCCGGGCTACAGTGCGAACGTGCGCTTGGATTTTGCGAGCTGGTGCTTGCAGCTGAACCCCAGGTAGGTGGCGGGCAAATGCAGTCCATTTGAACGATACAAAACGTTTTATGACAGAACATTGCTATCACGTGCGGTTGAGTGCGGCAAATTGTGCTTATATGCAATGTTCTAGGACCGTTTTGGACGCGTTGATGTCAAAATAGGCAGCATGTCAATACATCGAATGTCAGTGTGGCGCAAAACAGGTTGTATTTACTTCAATCTCGAACGCGTGGCAAAAATGGCAGGCGTGCACATTTCGGACGGGATTGGGTCACAGATCCTTCATGTTGCCAATGGTACACAAGATGGGTGACACATAAAAGAAGAAATGTTTACAGCGGGTAACGAGTCAGCAGCAACAAGGGACGTGTAGGTGACCCTTTCAATAGTCCAACCTGCACACAACCGCACACATGCGCAGCGGAACAAAGAGGTTATACGGGGCATACTATGGAATGGGGGGTCACAACCATATTACCTGCGAAGACCCAATGACTGGCACATCATCGTTGACCCGGAATACATGGTGAACTGCCTCAAAAATTCACGGCGTTTGGTCTGTGAAGCAGCAATCACCGTATTAACGTCCTGAGAGGCAAGCAGTGGGAAGCAGTGGGAGAAGGGTGAAGGGTGAGGTGTGCATAACGGCCTTTGAATGGCAAAGTACAAATAACGGACATGCGTCACGCCTGATGCTTACCTGAGTTTAAGCACCCAGTTTCTTTATGCGAGAGGAAAACCCATGGCGCAATCCCCGGAACGTCTACTCGTGAAGGTTCGACCTCTGACACAGGTGTGAACGTTGACATGGCGGAGCAAAAACGAGACGCCAAGACTCGTACTATCAGCGTGCTGGGTCGAGGACAAAGTTGACACTGCCTGCGGGATGGTACATCGGGAGCATGTATATAAAACAGTTAGTGAAACATGCTACTGAACATGCAGATAAGCGAACACATACTTGGCAAGCCCAACAGTATACCTGCCTCGCGTATGACGCCCTCCCCATAAGTGTGACTAACTTCGTCGCGTCCAGTCCTCGCACGCAACAACCTGCAACTTCACAAAATAGGAATAGCACAAAACCCTCAAGCTGCGCACAGCATCAACTGAACTCTGTGCTAAGTAGGTAATTGCTCGTGCGTTTCCAAAAAGCAGCAACACCGAACCACAGCTACTTCGATACGCATAACAAAAGCGCAACTACAGTCGAAGCTCCGTACCTATGCCGCCCATCTGAAATTTCAGATCTCTCCCAGGTGTTGAGGGGGTTGCAATGTGAGTTATCCCATTGCGCACATACACGCTAGGACACCAAAGTAGTGACGGGAGGGGGTAGTGCAAGGTAGCAGTAACCTGCTTCTAGAGAGTCGCGCAGAGAAGTTAATGTCTGGCTAAATGATGACTTGCTTCAGAGCGTGGTCACTGAAATACGTCTATTCCTGGGGATTGAAGTCGTCTCACAAAGGCTGTGAGGAGAAGCCACACGATGGGTTTTCAGCTTAGCAGGGAGGGGTATCCCGACCCCTCCGCTTTCAGGTTAGGGGTAGCGCTTTCTGCGCACAGTTTCCCCTAAAGTCTGGGCTAGGGGGGGAGAGTTATTGTTCAGATTAGGGACTTGAGCTCTCAATGAGCCACGTTTCCTAGTTCTCAAAGAGAGCTCACTGTAGGTGTTCAATCACAGATTCTCCACTGCTCTGGTTTGTCGTTTCTACTCAATATATTACACTCAAAATACCCCAACGGACACGCGAGCAAAAAAAAAAAACCCAGTCGGGAAGGCATCCGGTCAGGGAGGCATCAACCCTAAACACCTTGTGGCATGGTGTTTAGGGCTGATGCCTCCCTCGGACGCAATTTAGGGAGGAATCAACCCTAAACACGGGACCCCTCTTTCTTGTTAGGGTTGATGCCTCCCGAGTCGCACCCCTTCCCGATTGGGTTTATTTTGTTTCGGTCAGAAAGGGTGCACATATTCTCAGGGTTTCGGGTGCAATGTAATTTGGACGAGAAAAAAAAAAACAATGGCCACACAGCTTTGGGAACAGTGAGCTGACGAGCTAGCCTGGATTCGGTAGAAAATACAAACAAGCGCAGTGCAGAATCTGAGATTGTAGATGTACAGTGAGAGAGCTGTGTAGGACTAACCACGTGGCTCATTGAGAGCTCGACTCCCTAACCTGAACAATAACCCTCCCCCCCTAGCCCAGACTTTTGCAGAAACTGTGCGCAGTTTGCGCTGTCCGTACCCTGAAAGCGGAAGGGTCCAGATACATGTCCCCGCTAAGCTGAAAACCCCCACACGATTGGTCAGCGAAAAACACCCACCGTTAAACCGAAGCCATACCGCACTAGTTAATAAGGACCTGGGACCCTGTGCATGTGGGTTGGCATATAAAACTTCAGGCCTATCATATATTGTGCAACCCAAACGATTGGTTTGGAAGCTAGGGAATGTGGTGCGCAGGCTCAAATACCCTTTAGGAATAATATGATTGACTACATTAATCGTCAACAGAGGACACATAAACAAAGCCACCAGAAGCATCGAAAGGTAAACGCGATAGAAAAAAGAGCTAAAGTAAGGAGAGAGTAGATCGGGCAGCGAAGCATCGAGAGGCCACGGACTGCTGCACATGTCACCAAGCGTCTTTCTGAGATTGCAACGTTGCCAATGACCGAAGCCAAGAAAAACCGAGGCTGGTGGCAGGATACACATGTTCATACAAACAGAAAGCCTTCCCCCCATGCAGCCTGGACAGGTCCAGCCTGTGTGACCAGGGCAGGCCCTGCCTGTGCGGCCGGTGCAGGCCCAGGACGTGCGGCCGGGACGGGCACAGCCTGCGCGGACGTGACAGGCGCTACCTGGGCGGCAGGGACAGGCACAAATGGACCGGCCGGGAAAGGCACAGGCTGCGCGGCTGGGGCCGGCACAGGCTGGAAGGCCGGGACAGGCACAGGCTGCACGGCTGGGGCCAGCACAGGCTGCGCGGCTAGGGCCGGCACAGGCTGCGCGGCTGGGGACGGCACACGCTGCGCGGCTGGGGCCGGCACAGGCTGCGCGGCCGGGACAGGTGCAGGCTGCGCAAAGCGGTTGATGCCCTTTGTGTCTTCAATGCCGTCGATGGAGATGAGTATCTTTCCGGTCGTAGAGAAGGCCCACGCCCTTAAACAGGCCTTGTACCAGGGGCCGCTCCCGTTGACTGAGGGGCCCATAATGCCAGCCCCTTGCACCATGCCGTCACTTTCTATAGATACTCGCAAACCTTCCTGCCGTTGATGCCAGGACCGTGCGACACATTGGAACCGTTGTTGATAATACGGTGCTCGACCTGCAGGATGATAGGGCATGCAGGACAGGAATGGATAAACACGCGGGATGTAGAGAGAGGAGGACGTGAGAGGGGGAGGGGGGGGTTATGGCAGGAGGGCGGTATCAGAATAGAGTTTGGAAACACCTGATAATGTACTTGCCCCACACCCTCTTGGGTATGCGGTAGGACTGAATCACCGTCAGGGCTGGAATGTTGTCAAGGAAGCTATGATTTGCGTGCCTGTGGTGAAAAAACAGAGAGGAGAGGGGGCGTGGGGGTTATTGCAAGATGGGTGAGTGAGCATGGATTGTGAACACCTGCAGGAATGCCTTTGCCCATCACGGAACTATTAGGTAAGCCCTCGACTGAAGCACCAACAAGGCTGAAATGTGGGCAAGGATGCTAAGATAGGGGGGCTTGGGGAAAAAAAACACGGGGAGAGGGGGACGGGGGGATATGATTGCATGGGCGTGTGAGAAGATTCCACGAAAACACCAGGGAGTGCCTTAGCCCCACTCCCTCCCAGGTAAGCACTGGAATGAATCACCCACAGTGCAGAAATGTGGGCAAGGAGGCTAACATAGTAGGGCTTGGGGTGAAGAAACAGAGGGGAGAGGGGGAAGGGGGAATAGGATTGGATGGGGGTGTGAGAAGGGATTGTGAAAACACCTGGGAGTGCCTTTGCCCAACTCCCTTCCATGTAAGCCCTGGACTGAATGACACACAGGGCGGAAATATGGGCAAGGAGGCTTACATAGGAGGGCTTGGTGTGAAGAAACAGAGGGGAGAGGGGGAAGGGGGAATAGGATTGCATGGGGGTGTGAGAAGGGATTGTGAAAACACCTGGGAGTGCCCTGGCCCCACTCCCTCCCAGGTAAGCCCTGGACTGAAACACCCACAGGGCGGAAATGTGGGCAAGGAGGCTTACATAGGAGGGCTTGGGGTGAAGAAACAGAGGGAAGAGGGGGAAGGGGGAATAGGATTGCATGGGGGTGTGAGAAGGGATTGTGAAAACAACTGGGAGTGCCCTGGCCCCACTCCATCCCAGGTAAGCCCTGGACTGAATCACCCACAGGGCGGAAATGTGGGCAAGGAGGCTTACATAGGAGGGCGTGGGGTGAAGAAACAGAGGGAAGAGGGGGAAGGGGGAATAGGATTGCATGGGGGTGTGAGAAGGGATTGTGAAAACACCTGGGAGTGCCCTGGCCCCACTCCCTCCCAGGTAAGCCTTGGACTGAAACACCCACAGGGCAGAAATATGGGCAAGGAGGCTAACATAGGAGGGCTTGGGGGGAAGAAACAGAGAAGAGAGGGGGAAGGGGGAATAGGATTGCACGGGGGTGTGAGAAAGGATTATGAAAACACCTGGGAGTGCCTTTTCCCCACTTCTAAACAGGCTTGCCCTGGACTGCTTCACCCATGGGACGTGCACCGAGCATGCTCTAAGCCAACTTACCCCATGCAAGAAATATGCGACATGGTAGAGCTTGACGACGGAAGGATGCGGTTTGTTTATGAAAAGAGACTCGTGCAATGCATCCTCAAATGCAGGGTGCGAGAAAGGAAGGCCGCCCCGGTGGGGGTATCGAGTCCATGTGAGGTTACCATGTCTCGTGTCATCTGCAAAAGGGATAGCAAATACAGCGCCAAGGTCAGGTAAGTCGGAACCAGAGTACTGCTGCGTTGTAGGTAATTTCAAATGCCCCACCTTCGGCAAAATCCGCCAGAAACTTTTCGAAGGTTGTGGCACTGCCCTCAATTGGCGGCTTCCGATCCGAGCACGGGAAAACAGGGGGACTATGAAGGGGAGCCCAAAGAAGATAGATACCCATGTTCGGGCCTGGTCTAGTGTATCGGCCCGAAGTTTAGCCAACTTCCTTTTCAACCACCGACGCCGCTTTGGGTCATTCCGCAGTGCAATGTGAATGTTGGCACGCGCGACGTTTGAAGTCAGCATGGGTGATTCCATAAATGCTTGCTCCAGCATCGCTTCGGAAGGCCACATGCTCATGAGTCGGGATGGCGTGAAGAAAATCACACGTGCGATCATGTCTATAACCAGTCCCTGCAAAGCACAACCATGTAGATGTACCCAAAAGGAAAGAAGGGAATAAGGGTTTAGGGCATAGCACAAAGAATCACAATGCAGCTAAGATCATGATCCAACACACACTTTTACACATCTCTGGCCCATGCATGCATGGGCTGACCCTTTAACACATCTCTGGCCCATGCATGCATGGGCTGGCCCTTTAAAACATCTCTCGCCCACGCATGTATGGGTTGGCCCTTTAACACATCTCTGGCCCATGCATGCACGGGCTGGCCCTTTAACACATCTCTCGCCCACGCATGCATGGGCTGGCCCACTCGACACATCTCTGGCCCATGCATGCATGGGCTGGCCCTTTTACACATCTCTGGCCCGTGCATGCATGGGCTGGCCGTTGAGCACATCTCTCGCCCATGCATGCATGGGTGAGCCCACTCAACACATCTCTGGCCCATGCATGCATGGGCCAGATATTTTACATAAGCATCATAGTAGAGGCTAACAGCAGTAGACATGAAATATGGATACAAAATCAGTGCAATCACTTAGGCCTGGACCCAGAGGCCATGAGAGGAGTAGAATGCATGTCACCCTTCCTAGAGATATCACATGCATGAGTTCGTCGCATAAAGGGCAGTGAGAGATGGCATTGAATCAATAAACTAGTAATGACCCACTCTAGCACGGCTTGAAGGCGTAGAATTGAGCTCATCTTCCATCCATTGTTCAAGTCGGGGATCTCGCATAGAGCGTCGATTAGGCGGTGTGCCCACGACAGCTGGTTGGGGGTTAGGTAGGACAGGACATTGGGAGACGCTCTGTTGCGTGTCTCCGCAGCTATCGCACGAACCGCGGACAGGGACAACGGCCTTGCCTCACGCACAGTCGGTGTCAACTGGACGCATACCCGTGTCTGCGCCAGTTCCAGTTCCACTGTCTGCGTTGAACATTGGCGCCATTGGTGCAGCCGCCGCGCCCATCGCGGATTTTACAAGGGGCGGAAGTCACCGAAGATTGACAACTTTGTGACTTTCCCGTCACAGATTCCGGTCACGGGAAAGTCATGGCTAGAAGTCCGAGGCTTCAGGGTCACGTTGCCAGTGATGCCAGGGTTACCGAAATGTCTACCAAAAGTCACAAAACCCTTACGTTTCCGTTACACTCCAAGTCACTACTACTTGACTTGTTTTCCACTATTACGTCTCCGTGCCTCATGTACCTTATGGGTCACCAAAACATAGCAGATAAATACCACCGCCATGTCAGCAGACACGTGTTGTACAGTGACAATTCTGCGTAACAACTAGTCCACTGACCAACAGAACGTACGCCAGGTGTTCAGCTGCGTCCACAAATCGGGGCTCGCCACTTGTCCTCGCCCAATGTTCATAAATGGCCCACATGCAACACATTGTCGTCCACATCAACGACAGATGTTCGTCCACGGGTCCCGCAATGTTTCTCTCCCGGCCGTCAATATGGCCCCACTTGTACAGTCATGATTTGCCACACACTTTGGATGCGTCTTCGCTAACCACATGCGAAACACATCTAACCGTACATTGACCCAATATCCCACGGCTGTCGACGCGCTCTCAACACACCAACTGCCTGCTCCCCGGCCATCATTTGAACCGTCCATGGCACACACATCTGTGAACCAGGTCCCAATCACCACTAGGCAGTCACGGCTAGGATGCGAAGCTCTCGTCTAATCCAAACATCCTACTACCTTCGATCCAACAGCCACGGCTGCTCCAAATGGAACACGGACATCGCATCTCTGGCGCGGAGATCTACGGCAGACCTTTGTCCGTCCATCACGCGCGATCGTCGTCCCTCTTTATTTGGCTAATCCACATCCAGCATCTCCCTGACTGGACATTTCGCCAAATACAGAACGATCTCTCCCAGCCTCTTACTCATATCCAAATAACCTGGTAACATCACATCTGGCCCGTTGATCTCCTCCCTACGTATCACAACCACCGACCATCATGCAAATCGATGCGCCGCCGCAGTGTCATCTCAACATCCAATCGTCCATTCAGTTCCCACAGGTGAAACGCGATACGACCACAAAGATCCCACGCCCTACATTTCTCCATAATAGCACCCACGCACTCGCTGGTTTTATGCACATTGGTCTGAGGCTAGGTGTCCCCCCCGTTGGACAAAGGCAATAGATATTTTTAAAATCCCTCTTCTTTACGGTTTAGCCCTACACATGTTCCACTCAACATCACACATAAGGGGCTTCACAACAACCAGCACTACATAAGGACACATCCAAGTCTCCCCCATACGGATACCCTCCACGTGTTGCGCACAACATTGAACTTCATCTCTCCTCCCAAGGCGGGTGTAGGGTTCCATTCACTTCAGTTCAGAGAGAGATTGTCCCCCTCCCTCCCGCTCTCGCTGGCTGCTGGTGCAGGCCATGGCGGCCCCAAGCACATTTGGAAGTGGTTGCGTCGTACGCCGGCTGGAACTCATCGACAGCCACCATGACGTCTGTCAGGGCACACTCACGGAGGCCTTCCACGATATGCACGTTGACACCCGCAGAGTTGGACAGCCTGCCCTTGCGAGTCTTCCAGAAGCGGATGGCATCGGTCACCTGCATATGAGAGGTAACGACCTGGGGTTAGGACTGTTCCCGTCCACGTACTACGGCGGACACGGTTAGAACCAACCGAGTCCAGTGTCATTAATTACCACGTGCTCGAGCCATGCCATGTGGTACAGCTTCAGCGTCACAGTGCCGTTGGTCATCCGCGGCTTGAACGCCGCTTGGGCCCAGGCTGCAAATGCCCCAGACGCAAAGGCATGCCGCGGCGGTCCTCGCTCCATTTGGAGATAGCGAATACGTCTGCGTTCAGGGACGTCAGAGTACATGACAGTCCGCATCCCACCGACATTCGGTCCATACAAAAACGCATGTACATGTCTTACCCTCCCCATCCAACGTCAGAGCAAGACGCTCCCGGATCCTAGCCGCCAAACGTGCCCTAGATGCCGCCCACGGGCTTCGCGCGTCTTGCTCGTCGCGGAAAAGCCCGAGCTTCAACAGCGCAATGTCGCGCACGCGTCCAGCCGCCGCCTTCATCCAGTCGCTCAGGGTGCGGTTCATGTCAGAGCGCCTTGCCTTGTCGGCCGCCAGAGCCAAGCTCGTGAATGGGAGGGGCATTGTCTCGATGACGGCGCATAGAGCTGCGGTCTTTGCCGCACTGCTCGGGTAGAACGTCATGGACTTGCTGTCCGCCGCGATGAAGAGATGCATGCGCAACTGCTCACAGATCTCTTGCACATGACGAGGCCCCAAACAATGCGCACTGAACCCGATTAGGGAACGTAAGCTCAACCACAACACCGGATATTAACAATCCTTCTGTACAGCATACCACCCACCCGCAAGGTCACACAAATGAGACTTGCCTTCCATCCTTTGTTAGACGGCAGAAACTTCAGCGCGCGCTGGAGAACGGCGATGTGGATGACCGCATGTGCCGCCAGTGCTCTTCCTCCACATCGGCATCGTCCAGGTTGGACTCCTCTGGCGTTGCAACGCGACGGCACTTCCTTGCATTTGTCGCCCTCTCGCACTCTCCACGCGCATTGTCTCTCTTGCGTTTCTTGGCAGTGTGGTTGGTAAGAGACGCCAGCAGCGCCGTCTCTAGCCTCGCAAGCATCGCAGCCATGTCTGGCAGATCCTATAATCCAAACAAGCTCTTACGCCATATTAGAATAAGAAATAACATTGGACAAGATAGGTCGGCTAGAGTAGGTAGCGGAAATATTTGATTGTGGGAACTTCGATTAGATCATAGCGAATTTAAATGACAAGATTGGTTAAAATGAAAATATTTCACACAATAATCAAATCCTAACTAGCCATGTACTATGAGGGGTACATTCCTTTATTCAACTACAATACAAGCATTGCTACAGTAGCAGTGTCGACTCCGATCCTTTGGTTGCCGTATCGCTGCTTGTAAATGTAGCGACAGTTTCAACCGCTGAAGTACCTCACAACAGTTTGGTCCAAGTAAGTCAATCGTCACGACAGTTGACCCCCGGGTGTTGATCTGCGTGCCCTGTATGGGCTAGCGCATGAGTATTTCAGGTGCTACCTTGATAATAGTAGGTGCGATAAGACTGCACCTTCTGGCATACTAAATGTAATTCTCGCCTTACACCAATACTAGGCCCTCAGATTGGTTTTAGGGCATGCTGATGATCAAAAGGAACCTCAATGCATTTTCGGATGAATCAACCCTAAACACAACTCGTCAAGTGGTTAGGGTCGATCCGTTCCCAAACCACATCCGATTCCAATTGGGTTTTAGGTTTCTTAGAAGTTAGCTAATTGGTTGGGCTTGCGCGGGAATTTTGTAGAGTCTCCAGAAGTTTTGGCGGGAGTTAC